AGAAAATCTTATTAAAGACACAAAATTAACACCATCCTACTGAGTGAAATCTGATATACATTCGATAGCAACACAATACGACAGGCGGAAAAAAAATTAATTAATTTTAAATTTATTATCATATTTAAGGTCAAACAAAATAAGTAAAATTTAATTGATTATGGATTTATAGTCATATGCTAAAATAAAATTAGATTACATACACACGAACACAGTAGCTACTATCTAGACCCTCATCTATACTTATATAATAAGGTGTACCATTTACGAAATTTAGTAAGTTGAAAAGTCAATGCAATAAATGCATTATTATTTTGAGCAACATAATATAATATCATATTTATACTTATATAAAAGGAGATTCTATTTACTATATTTACTATCCAGAAAAGTCAACTGCATTAAATAACATTACTATTTTGGTATTATAATATTTTATTTACTTAATTAATTTATTTATTTGTTTGTTTTATTTTAAAAAAGTAAGTATAATAAAAAGATTTTAATAATAAAAAAATCCAATACCAAATAAAAATGTACACTTTGACTTATTTGATTATATTTGGTATTTGATTAAACCAAATATATTCCTATTTAGTATATACATTAAATACTTACTAAAGTATTTATTTGTTTTATTTGTCGAAGTTAAGTATAGATTTGTTTATATTATCAAATCATAAAAAAAATATTAAATTCATATTGTAAAAAAAAAAAACATATAATTTTATAACAATTCTACTACACTATTTAACAATATTCCTTTTTTATTATATAATAAAATAATAATTAAATATTATATGGTTAACAACAATAAGTAAAACTGTTACTTTATCTTATATCAAGGGATAAATTTATATGCTAAAATTAAATTTTTATTAGTATAAATGTATTAGTGAGTTAATATATTAATTATATTACAAGTTAGCCCTAACATGCTCATATTTAATGTTTTAAAAGATGTAGAAAAAAACTTATAATAACTCTATTGTTTTTAAACTTAAACGTTGATTAAAAGAGGTAAAAATTCCTAATTTTTTAGACTTAAACGTTGATTAACACCATAGATTGAGAGTCTATACTTAGTAAAATTCCTAATTGTAATAAAAAAAATTAATTTTTGCTATATTTTAGAATATCTTTAAATTCATTATAAAAAAAGAAAAAGAAAAAAAAACTACAATGAAAAAAGCAAGTCAGTTATATATCGATTTGTTGTACTCCTCAAATCACATTCACAATTTGGCTACAAGGAAATGAAACTCATTGATTAAAATATTATTTTGTCAGTAGTCTTAATGTACAAGAGACTTTAAGACTCCACTTGAGTATTATAAAACTTTTATTGAACATTGTACAATTTTCTTGCGTATTATAAATTTTTATTGAATATTGCATCTTATAATATAATATTCTCCAAATAAATAAATCACGTGCTTCGCACGTGTCACGTACTATATATATCCCGTGCATTTTTCTTTATTCATGTATATAATTATAAATCTAGATAAATAGCCATAAAATTGTACACCCCGTACATCGCACGGGCTCTGTACTAGTTTAAGTTTATATTATGATATTAGCCAGAATTTTTGGAGCACTCAGTACATTTTCTTAAAATTTCACATGAAGCTAGTTAAAGATAGAAGTTTCCACAAACTACTTCAAACAGAACAGCCAAGTACATTGAAGAAAAAATAGATCATAAGCATCAATAAAAAAAACATGCACACACGAAAACAGATGCATCAAATTGCCATTACAGAAACAAAGCCAATCTTCCTTTTAATTCTACCATGTTCAGTTTTTCCTTCTATAATAATAATGAATTTAAACATTTATAGTATTATCCCTTTCTTTACAGTGTTTTTTTGTCTTCTGCAGGTAGCTAATTCCTAGGTAACTCGATTTTCTTGGTGAAGATTCTGAACTGATCACCATCTCTGTGACTCTGTTCACTTTCCACACCATTTTTCTC